CACTGAATTTTCTAACACTATTCACTGAATTAATCAATGTGTTTTCATTGATACGAAAACCTCCATTCTCATATGATACATTCCTGTATCTGTGTTTATTCCTATATTCTTTAATCTGTCTTTCCCTTCAAACTGTATGTAAAGTTTCCTTAGTTTTATAATATGTGTGATTATTTGATAGTTGCCATAATTTGTTACATTTTGTTTTCAGAATAATTTGGCAATCATTACACTTCATATGTGCCTTAGGAACTTCAAAATAAGCTTTTCAAGAATCTGCCACTTTAATATATGGTACATTGATCTTTCAATAGAATCATATTAAATAGAGATAATTTACATCTTTAAAATGTCTTTTATCCTTGAATGATGTCTATTTCCTTTATGCATGTCTTAGTTTATGTTCATCAGTGCAACTGTAATACATTTATTTCTAGAGTGTTTTTCTTCCCACAGGTCAAGACTTCTTTTTCCAGGTTTAATTGACATATTGTTGACATATAACATGTGTAAGTTTAAGTATTTCATATACACATATATTGAGAAATTATTACCACAATAGGATTATTGGCCTCCATCTTATCACATAATTTTTGTCCTGTGTGGTGATAACTTCTAAGATTTACTCTTAACAACTTTCAAGTACATAATAAAGGATTGCTAATTATAGGCACCATGGCTGTGCATTATATCCTCAGAACTTAATCATCTTATAGATGGAAGTTTGTGCCCTTTAACCTGCATCTCTCTACTCCCCCACTCTCCAGGCCCTGAAAACTGCCATTCTACTCAATTTCTCTGAGTTTGCCTTTTTGTAGAATCCACATAAAAGAACATACAGTATTTGTCTTTCTCTGAGTTGTTTCACTTCGCATAATGCCCTCAAGGTCCATGCATGTTGTCACAAAGGCAGAACTTCCTTCTTTCTTCATGGCTGAATAATATTCATACACATATATATATACATGTATACTACATTTTCTCGATCTATTTGTTCATCCATTGATGGGCACTTAGATTGTTTCGTGTCTTGGCTATTGTGAATAATGCAGATATCTCTTTGAAACAGTGATTTCATTTACTGCCCAGAAGTTGGATTGCTGAATCATATGGCTGCTCTGTTTTTAATTTTTTGAGGAACCTCCACATAGTTTTCAATTTATATTTCCACCTACGCAAGGGTTCCACGTTCTCACCAACAGTTCTCTCTTATTTCTTTTATGCCAGCCATTCTAATAGGTATGAGGTGATAATTCACTGTGCTTTTGATTTGAATTTCCCTATTGATTAGTGATGTTGAGTATCTTTTCATGTACTTGTTGGCTATTTGTATAATAATTGCAAATATTTCTTCTTCAGAGAAATGTCTATTCAAGTCTTTTGCCCATTTTAAAGTCAGATTTTTTTTTTTTTTTTT